CCCCCCCCCCCCCACACACACACACACACTTTGTGGCTACACCGTGCACATGGGTGGTCCTACCACAGCTGCAGCGTTTGGAGGTGGGTGGCCTCCCCACTCACCAGCCGCAGGCTCTCCTAGCGCTATAGGTTGCATTGTCTGCAGAGGCAGGTGCATGGAGCAGAAGCCGGAGAGAAAGCCCAGAGACCCTGGCTGCTAGCTCCTGTGTGGCCTACTTTTACACTGAGCTTGGGGTCTACAGATTAACCTCTTTTGGCCACATGTGGTCCACAGGCTACCAGTTAGACAGCCCTGCCTTGGATAATGCCTGTGATTTAAAGTCCAGTATTTTGTGCCTTGTGTATATGTAAAGCTGTAATATATGACTTACATCATTATGACTTTGCATATACGCACGTACATACATATACATGCATACATATGTGTCTCTCTCTCTCTCTCTCTCTCTCTCTCTCTCTCTCTCTATATATATATATATATAGAGAGAGAGAGAGAGAGAGAGAGAGAGAGAGAGAGAGAGAGAGATTCTGCAGACAATGCAGCCTATAATGCTAGGGGAGTCTGCGGCTGGTGAGTGGGGGGGCCACTCACCTCCAAACGCTGCATATATGTATATAGAGAGAGAGAGAGAGAGAGAGAGAGAGAGAGAGAGAGAGACACACACACACACACCCGCACACCCCCACACACACACACATATATGTATGCATGTATATGTATGTATATGCAAAGTCATAATGATGTAAGTTACGGAGATATATATATATAATATGAAAATGACATTTAAATTCAAAAGTTCATGTTGAACTTTTCAGTAACTTACAGCATTATGACAGAAAAGCCACAAAAAGCTGTAAACTGGGGGAAAAGCCATTATAAGAACAGTATATCAGCATAAACTTTTACCTGTTAGGTACTTGCCCATTCTTCTGATCTTAACATAATATGATCCATGGAGGGATCTTTATGATTCATTGTCTTTTTTATTTTTAAAGCAATCAAACAAATCCATCAAAGGGAAACAAGCCCTTATAGATGAGTACTGCTTAAATATGTGATCACAAGCATTTGTAATTCCATTATTATTCAGGTACTTGGAGGTTCAGAAGTGCTTCTTTAGAGATATTCCAGACTATCATGTAAGGATTTACTGAGAATGGCCATTAAGGGTGCAATTTATCCCACCCTAAACAAAACCCACACACAAGCAGTCTTTTGTTCACAGAATTTTGCAGGAAGTGGAAATGAAATTCACTCTTTCAATTTGTGGCCAGGCCATAGTGGAAGGACACAATTCCTCCACAGTCTCAAATATGCTGGGCATTTCCCCCTGAAGCTTCAAGGTGAGGCTTTGTGCTGTGCCTTTATGCTGTGCCTTTATGCCCTCATGATTTGCATCTGTTACATACAGCCTGTTCCCCAAGTGACTTAGACAAGCCAGGAAAGCTCTTTGTAAATGATGACAGGACATCAGCAGTTGGGTCACATTCACTTGTCCCTTACCTTAGTCATTGGATAAAATACATAAACAGTTATTGAAGTATGGACTGAAACCCAAGGTGCTCCGTTCTTAGTGTGTCCCTTAATCGCTAGGCTGCAGAGTCATACCCTCCCACCCTGTGCTATGTCTTTGGCCCAGATAATCTTTAATTCGTACTGCAGAGTGGACCAGCCTTAACCAAAGGAGGGGAGTGGCCCACAGCCCTGCCTTACAGGCAGTCTGTAGCCTGATAGTGAGGTTTTCTCCAGGGGATGGAAAGGTATGGGTGTAAATCCCCTCAGGCAGAAGGAAGAGTTGAACTTGGGGTTTCCCAAATCTTACATAAGTATTTTAACAACTAATTATTATATAATAAGCTGGGGCCAATATCACAAGCAGCCTTTCCTCCTGCCAGGCTTTTTAAAAGGATGTATACCCTTTTGTTTCAAAGGTTTTATATAGACATCCACCTCCAGAAGATTCAAAGCTGTGACTCCAATGTGGATGAGAGCACCTCCTGCTAATAGTGAGGACCCTGGCAAACATTAAAAAAAAGTCATGATTAGGATTTGAGGAATTTTATGCCCCATTCCAAACATTGTTCATCCTGCCATGCCAGACTTTCTGTGCAGGATGTGCAACGTTTGAGATAGGGCATAATATTCCTTAGCTGTCAGTCACAGCACTGCAGAGCTGCCCCTAGCCCAGTCTTACACATCAGGCAAGGGGCAGCTCTGTCCCAGACCCTAGCACTGCCACATTTCTAATGCTGACTCAGGTTGTATTGGAAACTTATGGCAGTCCTGGGCTGGTGCTGACAAAGTTAATGGTTGGCACCCATCCTGGATGGCCCCAGGTCCAGATAGCAACCCAAGACTTTCACAGGCCACTGGTGACAATCAGGTGATTTTCAGCACCAGCCCTGGACAGCTCTGGGATCTGGTTCAAGACTAGAGGCTATCTAAGGCCAGGGCGAACAACATGCACTTTGGAGTGCTGGGTCCAAGCAAGCGTGCATCTTGATGCTGACAATCCATAGTTGTTGACATTAAGACTGGGGCAGCCCCTGGCTTGCCCAGGACCCAGTGCTGATGATTGGGTGATGGCACATGCCAGCCACAAAGATATTACACATTTTTGTGGGACATCTTTGTAGTTGGTTTGCCATTTTATAGCACCATAAATATGATTAATGTATGGCATGTAGTTAGTTGTGGCACAATTAACACATTAACTGTGCCATAAATGTAACCTGCTAGGGGCCTGAAAAACTCTCACAATCCATGTTAAAGGGGCAGAATTTAAGACTTAAATCCTCAACATTTCTGTCTCCAGGCATCTCGCAGCTCAGTTGACTCATTCCAAGGTACCTGACTTCCACATGCACTATACAGGGTACTCAGTTACATTGTTAATTTACTTTACAACAACTCAGTGTAAAGTAGGCCACAATTTTGTATCTCCAGGCCTGTAGCTCAGCAATTTCATGTGTACAAATAGAGACACATTCTCTTGTGATATAAAAGTGACTCTGCTTCACTTTATGTCAACAAAGAATTTGACTCATATTGTAGTTTGATTGTGAGGCTTAGTTGTAAGTTAAGCAGCAGCTTCCAAATACTAAATATGGCTTTTCCACTGACCTTCTTTGTCAATAAAATAGGTATAAAGATTATTTCACAATCCTGATGTGAAAGTTAAAGGTACAAAATTCTGTGCTATTGCTCCTCTCTCTTTTACTTTCTCCCTTCGTCTCTAATATCAATCTGTCTGTCCATCTATTGAAACAGTAAGATAAATTCATACATATAGTACACTTACACACAATCAGAGAGGGAGAGATGGGTGTGCATTATAGTAGGTACATCAGTAGCAGTGAGTCACTATTAGGAAATCTAATGCTGATGCTGGTAAAATTTGCTCCACCTGTCACTGCTGGAGATGTTTCCATTAATGGTATAGGCTATGATGAATTTGTTCTTGAGACTGAATTTTTCAATACTCTCTTAATGAACTGTGTAAATAAAATTAAAATATTGTATTTTTCTCAGATTAGTTGTATATTTAAAATAAGCATTTGTACTTTGCTCCACAGTCACCAGAAGATCTGATGAAGGATTCCTTAGTTAAAAATATCCCAGAGTGAATTTCTAACTACCTTTTAAATACTTAAATTGTCAAGCTAGCATTTTGCACAGATAGAGATTTTCAGTGTATTATTCCCTAATGTAAGTCAATTAAAGCTGTAACACTTTCCTAAATTTGAATCTCTAGATCAAATGTTTTTCTAGTTGCACATTTGCCTTCTGTGCATTTATTTCAAATGTTAATAAAGTTTTCATCTACAAAAGGTTTACAATTGACAGAACAAAATTCTTCCTTTTTAAATCATGACAACTACTACTGTTTCTGTCTGCAGGTAGTGGAGGACATGCTAGAGGACGAGGAAGAAGAGGATGACAGAGATGACAAGGTAATTATCTTTCTTAGCACTTGGGTACCTGGGGATGGGAGAATTTAGACATGACACTGTTTTTACAGACAGTTAAAAAAGGAGTTGAAGTGTTTTAGTCCAGAAAATTGGACAGAGCTGTTTATCATCCTAACAATGCTACTGTGTGTTGCAGGAAGGGATAGAGGACTATAAATCCTCTTCTTTTTTTGTCCAGAGCTGGGTCAAATATTTTTTCTGCCAGGAACAAAAATAATTCAGCTTGTCTGGAACTTGATAGCTCTTGTGAAGATAACTGCAGTGACAACTGTTTTTGAAGGACAAAAATTTGTCCTGTCTTGAATGTTACAAATAGGGCTGTACTTTAGGGGGGAAATGGTGTAAAAATAGCAACTCCACACTGGTTGAAGATGGGTTATTGCCATCTATAATTTTCAATGAATTACTTGGTAAAGAAAGCTTCGTATGTTCTGTACTCTCTGTGACATTTAAATAATCACAATTTTCATAGCCATCCACTTGATTTGGGACTGGCATTGGGGCCCAGCAAGCCAGAGAACTATTGCAGATCTTTCGGCGTTTGAGAATATGTGGTTTGGTTCCTAGGCTACTGGTTGGGTTAAGGATTGCAACCACAGTAAATAACAGCTCGTTTCCCCATCTTACTGAGCCAAACTATGGACTACTTGGATTGGTTGTCCCCTAGGGAGAGGGAATAACCAGAGGGAGGAAATTAGAATGACCTTGCACCACAGATGCAGGGGCTAGCATTGGCAGGACAGCTTTGCTGGAGAGACAAGTGCAGTAAAGAGAGCCCTGCTGTTGTCTCTAGGATTTTCATAGCAATAAGATGAGATATGCGAAAGAGGGGGAAAAAACCCATATTATTTTAAAACAGTGCTGCATTAAACACAGGCAATTTTGACCTTCACAAATGTTCTCCTACTTCAGTTATAGTAAAGCAATGAATTTTTTTGAAGAGAGGAGAAAAACAGTGTATCTTAATTTATGCCCTTGACCTTTGTTTCTAGTAGAGATGTACAGTTACATACCACTGTAAAGATTCGTATGCTGGCAGCAGCATTTGAAATGTCAGAAAATTCACTGTGATTAGTTAATCCCCTGAATGATTATTTTTCTGTTAGCTAACACCCAAGATTTGAGAGAGAGGATAAAAAAAATGAGTATTTCCCTCATTCCATTGCCAGTTCAAACATTTTACAACTGACAGAAAGATATTATGTGAAATTCTTCTGTACATCATTTAAATTGTTAGCTACATCATTTCAGAGTCATCAAACATTGCAGTAACAAAGCCTCCTTTTTACAAAACACATATGTCCTAGTTCTTCACACTAAATGATATGAGCATACACTTCTGGCAATAAAATATATGATTTATTGCAAAGGTCAGCCATGTAGCTGTAGAGAGCTTGTATTTTAACTCAACATGCTAGCTCTGAATCATCATTTCTCTTCTGATAAACACTGATCTGCCATCCATTTGTAGCCATTTTCTCCTGCATCTGGCTGCTTTATTATTAGAGCCAGTATAAGAACATCAACTCAGTAGTATATGTGCTCCTGGAAATTTTAATAACTGTGATCAGTTCACAAAGTACAGTACTTTACTGCTTGCAGTTTAAATCAGCCTATTTAGTTACCACTTCGTTGTTTTTCTCAAGTTACTAAACAAAGTGCATCCATAAAAAGCCTGTTATGCTCTAGCTAAAGCAGCTGCCAAACAAAACATACTAGATTTCAGAAAATAACACCAAATCTCTGGAGCTGTATCAGTTGTAATCTAGTGCTTAGCTGTCTGAAATGGACACCAAAGTTGAACCACTTCTTAAGATATAGTTACCAAAGGTGTCTGAGAGTGCTTAAATTACTGTGTGTATCACGTGGTGCTATTTACTGAATGACTAAGCAGTGTGTTTTGAGTACAAAAGGCATATGAGTTGCCTTTCATAAATTCAAATCCTTATTTCATTAGTACACACATTTTATTTAAGCCTTCATAATTCAGTGTGCTAGCTGAAGAATCATAGATTGAACAGAAAGAAAATGACACGTGCAATATTTTTATAAAAAATAGATGTACCATATACCCAGTAATTTCTGCAATGAACATTTTATTGCTACAAACTAGACTATAAAACAGATCACGAATGTCTCTTTTTGCCACTTTCCTCCTTAAGGCTGTATCATATACAATTAAGTGCAACTTCTCTTTTTCTATCAGTTTGTCAGTATGGAAGGGGCAGAATTCTCTACTCCTTTAATTCATAGGTCCCTCAAGCTAAGGGTTTGTGCGTAGTGAAATGTTGTGAGAAAATAAATGCACACTTTACAATACTGGCAGGGACCGACCTCCAGCTTTCATTACTTTTCTGTTTTTTCATGTGGTACAATAGTCAAGTCAGGTCAATGGGTCCTCTTCTAGGATAAAAGTAAAAAGATTAATAAATGTGCCAAAGCCTCACTTTAATTGAACCTGAAGCATATGTTGCAAGTATGTAAAATATGTCCCAGATGTTTAACCATGGCCAGTCCCTTTGCTTTCCCTGATTACCACAAGGCAGCTATTAGTCCTGTAACCTTTGGACTTGGGGGTAAATGGGGTATTACATGGCACAAAACTAGAGCACCTGTTTTCCATTCAGTCAAGACCCCTGGCAGGCTTTGCCTAAGCCTATCCATATGTTTTCACTTAGCAGATTGTTGGGCGATTATGAAAAGTGTCTTTCTTTAGAGGCAGCTTAAATATTAGTCACTTACTCGCTATGAAAGGGCAACTCATTGGCTACTTGATGAGGTCCGTGTGGGCACACACTGAAGTAGGTTATGGGATGTGTGGTAGGGGGCTGTTTCTTGACATCCCTATATAAATTAGAGTTACAGAAGTAATGAATTGAGGTTGCTGAATATCCAAATGTTTGCAATTAGTTAAAATAATAGTTTTATAATGTCTTTTTATTAACGATGACTTTTACTACTTGTGAGGAGTTCAGTTAAATTTGGTGAAGCAGAGCTGTAATTAGATTTTTGCTTGGTTTTTCAAATCTTATTTTTCCAGGTTTTTACCATTTTTATTTAATCTAGCACTGCAAATAATCAGACAGGCAAGATTATAGATTTAAGATCATATGATGCCTAAACCTCTTTTAACTGGAGGACATTAACTTTTGTTTTCAATTGAAAAATGATTAATATGCTAAAATGGCAAATATACTTGATGTTATTTCAGTTATAATCTAATGTTTAACATGGGGACGCTGCTTTCTTGTTATTATTACTTACTAATATTGTGCTTTGAAGACGTGAAGCACTCTTGCTGTTCAGCTGCAACATTTGTCATAAATTTTAATACTCGTGTTTCAGTAAGTTAACATGGGATTCTGCATTCCATATGTTCTGTGCTAAACCTGTGCCAGCCACAAAGTTACAGTTTGATCTGATTTTTTTTAACCTCTTTCAAATTTTCTGTGGTTATACAATATCTTAGCAAATAAGAGTTAAATCACATGGAATCAAGTTATCAACAAACTATAAAAAAGCTCTTATGCAGCATTATATAATAATATTTTAGTGATCAATATGTATAATCTATACATCTAATTAAGGCAGATAAGATTTCACTTTGCAGCCTGGAAAGTTTAGGCATGTTTTTCTCATAGCTTCTTCTGTTTGTAAGAAGCTCCAGCTGAGATTTGAGGCAAGTGCAAAGGGCCTGATGGGTGAGGGGCCAAGCATTAGCACACTATAGAATCAGGCTCCAAAGTAATATTACAGGTTTGAGGGGAAATTTTAACTATTGTCATACCTTAATTATTTGTATTAATTTTATTGATTATTTTTAATAAGAGGTTTTATTAAAATATTCAGGTCATTTATCTTTTTAACATCTTTCTCTAGCCATTTGTTCTTAGTTTGGAAATATTTTTATTATCCTGTTTCAAGATAATGGAACATACTTAATTTGAATTAATATACATATGTAAGCTTTTAATCATAACTGTCAAGAGGTACCAAGTTTGTTTTCAAGCCCAAACACATTTGTAAACTGCCTAACAATCATGTCTCTGCATCTTGAGTAAATCATGAAGGGGAAGAAAGATAACTACGATATGTGATATGAAAAGATTCTAATCTGTCAAAATGACCATTGCTTTCTATAAAATAAAAGCTGTGTAGGAAAACAATTTAAGAAATGGGGGGGCAGAGGGAAAGGAGGAAATCAGAAAATTAAAAATTGAATAGAAAAATCTGCAGGCACACCTGCAGTGTGAGTCTGGTGTTGGATTCTACACATACATAGATAGCAACCTCAACACAGAACAACAGATACATCTGAGAGGGAACTAATTGCATTCTCCAGCCAAAACTGCAGCTGAATATGATTCTGCTATCCCCTAAAAGCCTAGTTAGGACACAGACATTTATCTAACAAACTTGTGATTCAACAATATGAAAAAAGTTATGCGGCTGGAATAAAGATGCAGTGTTGTAGCTCTGAGTGACAGTTATTCACAAAGTGGGACATTCAGAAACCACCATAATTGGGCATATATGGTCATCCTAATGAGGGAAGGGATGAGGGAATCTACTACATATTTGTGCATGAGGGAGGCAGTTCATAAACTTAATATGTTCTTTGGGGACAAACAATCCAGAAAAGCCTCCTCCAATGTTTAGGTAGTACGGACTCAATAATACTGGTGTAATTCTGGAATAACTCTTTTGCAGTTATTGGAGTTCCTCTGGAATTAGACCAGTATAAGTCAATGTCTCAGCCTCTAAATACATTCAGACAACACAGATCCATAATCAGAGTTCAGCACCAAGGGATATCGTGTGCATGCGTGGTAGCCTCTGGGGGAACTTTGGGTCCATAAACTATTGAATGGATTACACTCGTTCACGTATGTAGTTTTTTCACCTGTGACTAATGTAATATGAATAATAATGTATTAATAAATGACTTCATTTATTAAGTCATCCAAGTATTCAATAAGCTA